TATATATATATATATATATATTTGAGTGCATTACCTAGTAATCAGGACAGCCACGTCATGATGGACTGGATGGTCATCGTCTTTCATATTGATGTTTTTCTGCCACTTACAGAAGCTGTGCAGACTGTTGTCTGCATGATGGGTGATTTTCAAATCCTCCTGATAATAGATAATCATACAATTATTAAATAAGTAGTACATTGCAAAAGTTGGAACTTTAAAGTGTGAAATATAGCACAATCTACAATAAATGTTTAGATGAAATGACAAAAATAACATATTACAGTCAATATAGGCCTTTTTTTTTGAATATGTCATGTCATTAATTTTCTTTTTGGCTTAGTCCCTTTATTAATTAGGGGTCACCACAGCGGAATGAACCGCCAAATTATCCAGCATGTTTTACGCAGCAGATTCTTTCCAGCTGCAACCCATCACTAGAAAACACACATACACTCTCATTCACACACTTACACTATAGACAATTTAGCTTACCCAATTCACCTATAGTGCATGTGTTTGGAAACCCACGCCCACACGGGGAGAACATGAAAACTTCACACAGAAATGCCAGCTGACCCAGCCGAGGCTCAAACCAGCGATCTTCTTGCCGTGAGGCAACCGCACTACCCACTGCACCTCATCAATATGTGAAGTCATTTAAAAATTAAATCATGAATAGTAATGAAAAGGCAATTTAAAAGAGAAAAAAGTAATTGGATTCCCAAGTTGAATTATAAGGTTTTATCTAGACAATATAAAGAGCAATTCTGACAGCCGTTTGCATTTCAATTTCCCTAGTTTTTCCCTTTTCTATTAGCTTTTTTTATTTGATTAATTTTAGCCTCTCTAATTAATTTTCTGTAATCAGTTAAGGGTAAAACCTTTATATGCTCCCTCTTAGCCAAATAATGAGAAAAAAACAAATCTCATACCACAGCTATGCTGATGACACTCAGATGTATCTAGCCTTACAGCCTTATGACTACAGCCCCATTGACACCCTCTGCCAATGCATTGATAAAATAAACAATTGGATGTGCCAAAACTTTCTTCAGTTAAACAAAGAGAAAGCTGAAGTGATTGTGATTGGGAACAGAGATTAGGTTCTCAAGTTGAATGCGTACCTTGGCACTAAAGGTCAAACAACAAAAAATAAGGTCAAGAATCTTGGTGTGACTCTGGAGTCAGATCTGAATTTCAATAGTCATCTCAAAGCAGCCTGTAAATCAGCATATTATCATCTGAAAAACATTGCAAGAATCAGACGCTTTGTTTCCAGTGAAGACTTAGAGAAACTTGTTCATGATTTTATCAGCAGTAGGGTGGATTACTGTAACGGCCTCCTCACTGGCCTTCCCAAAAAAACAGTCAGACAGTAACAGCTCATCCAGAACGCTGCAGCCAAGATTCTGACTGGAACCAGGAAATCAGAGCACATCACCCATGTTAATGTGGGTTGGATTTAACTGAATGAACTGAACTGAAATGGTCAAAAAAAAGTTAACATCATAGAATTTCAGCCATGTTTGACATATCAAGAGACAATCAACAGCAGTGCATTCTCCAGCGCAGCTAATTTGGTCACACAAGGTACAATTTACACTACACTGGAAAAAAAAAGCTTTAATTAATTAAATATATATATATATATATATATATATATATATATATGGTTCACATTAAAATTTTATCACCTGACCCAATGAAAAATAAATTATTTGCCTTAAACCAGAAATGCACAATCTAGGGCCCACAGGCCAAAGTTGGCCCATGGCAACCTTTGATTTAGCCTACCATGCTATCTAAGAAGATGGGGAGAATGGGGATGGTTTAGACTCCAGATTGTCGTTTAAAATTTTATGTAAACCTTTATTGGCTTGTTTTAAGTGTTAAGCTACAAAAAAGCTAACTAAAATTTAATGTTTCAATTGAAATGGTTTAAATTAATCATATATTTAGTTTAAAATGTATATACTATCACCCGACGAATAGATGACAATGCAGAGACTTTGGTGAGCGACTAGTGTATTCAGCACTGAACTACGCTGTTAAAAATGTGATTGTTTTTATTGCAAGACGTAAAGTAATGCTTTCTATTTATTTCTAAATATTATGAAATTAATTAGAAAATTATGCTGGGAAACTTAAATGCTTGGAAACTTAAATGGCTCTCAATGATATTTGGATTTTATTCCTTTATACGAAAAAGTTTGGGCACTCCAGAGTTAAATAATATTTTTTATCTCGATGAGAACAATTTTATATAACCTGGTGCAAAGCATATTTTTCTTGTTGACGAAAGGACAAACAACAAGATATAGCTTTAATCAAACCATCAATTCCCATAAAATGTTCATTCATCCAATTAAAAATAAATAATTTGCTTTAAAGAATATATATTTTTAAGGCCATGAAAGCACAAAGCATATTGTAATGATTGCTGTATTTAGAGCAACTGGCTACTACAACTAACTTAACTGTTTAATTAATCTAAATGGGTAGTAGGGTGTTAACATTTATTGTGCATAACGTACAATTAACAGCACGTTATTGAGAACATTTGTGCCCCGTACACATGGCACAAAAGCATTAAGAGCATGTCCAAATCCACTTTCGCCATTTTAAGGATGGAAAACTACACTTTGTGCCCCAGCACATGGTCTAACAGGGTTGTGCACATCCTCCTAATGAATTTTGGGTGTGTTTTCAAGCATAACATGGATTAAACTAATCAAAGTCTCATCTTACATTCCCTTCAAGAGTCAGTGGCGTCGCACCTTGGCGCATTTGCTCTTTACATGGCGGACTTAGTAAGTGTAAAAAGTGAATGCTTCTCTAGCCAGAAAACAGTTAAACAGACCATCTGCAGCACGAGGATAAAGAACGAGCCTCCTCCATTCAGCCTCTTTACTTTCTCTTTTCTTTACTCCTTTACTTTCATGGATAAGGAAACAGAGTTGTACACACTCCACTGAAGACATCCTTTAGCCTATATATTTAATTGTGTTCATTAAGGGCAAAGATTTGCTTCAAAACTATCATGCAAGATCTGGATTTGGTACCTCTGAAATCTGATCTGGCACCTGATTTTACCGATCGCCCACCTCAAGTGACCTCTTCCTCCGTCCGCTGTTTACTTTCACTTTCTTCCGCGACTCCCCTACCCTTTTCACTTTCTTCTGCGACAAGACAACCCCCCACTCTTCACTTTTATCCTTCGTCTGCGATACCCTCCACCATCCAAATCCAAAAATTATTTTTTATATGTGAAGATATTTGTCTATAGCTGTACATCACGTGTATGTTAAGCAATGTGTAAGCGTTTGGACCAGCATAAGCGCAAAACTAAAGTACTCTGCACTATAATTCAGACCAGTTTTTTATTGTACCTATTGTACTTTTGCTAACTATTTAGTCTGAAACATCAGATCTTTTCTATGTAAAATAAAGCAATACACAAAATGTAAAGTAACCCTTTTATGGCTTATGTCGCAATTGTTATATCATCACAATTTCCAATTGTTAAAACAAGAAAAATTGAAGACCATCTAATTATTTTTGTGAAGATTTGCTTTTAATTAATTGTACAAAGTTTGGCTGCTATGAAGCTTTACTGTCTATAGCATTCCTCCAAAAAGTGTGTGATGAGGCTATTCAATAAACTCAGTAAATAGTTGAATCGTATTCTTTTATTTTGTCATGTAGTTTGGGTTTGTCTAGCTCTTCCTCTTGTTTGTCTTGTCTTCCTCTTGCCATGTGTTCATTTGTTGATGTTTCTTGTTGTTAATGGATCTTTTGCTGTATCCGTCTCCTCCTGACTTCACTGACACTGTTTTCATGTATCATATGTTTTGTTCTCAATGGGTGTTTCAATCAGGAGACCTCTTTGTTTGATTATATATAGCCCTTATGTTACCATTGTTTTTGGCTATCTTTGATGTAGCGCATGCAACCCGCTGTTAGGTCAGCCTGTTCATGTCCCTATCATGTCTGAATTCAAGATGCATTACACACACATACACAGTCAGTATACAAAAAGTTAATAGCTACATTTATACTGATTTCTTATTTTTTGGATGTTTGTCACACTTTAATGTTTCGGATCATCAAACAAAGTAGAATATTAGTCAAAGATAACACATCATGCATTTTTTAAATGAAGCTTTTTATTATTAAGGGAAAACAAAATTCAAAAACACACAGCCATGTGTGAAAAAGTGTGTGCCCCTAAACATAAAACATAACTAAACAAAAAAAAAAAAAAAAAAAAAAAAAAAACAGAACTAATAGTTCTGGGGGGTATTCCAGAAAGCTGGGTTAACTTACCATCTGCTAAAACCTAAACTCTCGGTTGATTTACCCAAAACCTGCTTACCGCGAGTATGTTGGTTCCAAAACAGGTGACAAGAGTTAGTTAAATCAACCTCCTGAAGATAACCGCGGGTTAATGCGCGTGCACGGCACACACCTGAAGGCATTTTCAGTAGATCGCCGAATTCACGAGTCACCATAGAAAGTCACGGTGAGAAAAAAAGGGCAACGCACTTTACAGAGGCGAAGCTGGAGGTTTTAAACACAGAGATTACACATCTGCTTCAACGAAGGAAAGAAATATAGAATAAGAAATAGATAAGAAAATAAAAAATAAATAATAAGAAAATTTATTAATTGATTAAATTACACATGTCACCCTCCATTTTATTGTAATGATAAATTAAACTACTCTTTAACATCCTTTTTGAGTATGTTGTGTAACCATTCATGCATTTAATTTTCCTTCCATTAATTTCTTAAGGCCACAATATGTGTATTGACTAATAAGGCTTATAGAAATTGTAATCTTTCTGGAGCTAGAATTCTGTCCAAAGTCATTTAACACAGAAACATTATCATAAAAGGTAATATTTAATTACTGGAGCTCTTTATTTAACACTCTAGAATATTCTTTCTGACATGCAGCTAAAAGAAAGAGGCCTGTCTAACTGCTGTGTCCTATAATAAAGGCTTTTCAGTGGTTGAGTTTTTGACTTAAACCACACACTCTGTCACTGTTGTAAGTGATTGTTGTCAGATAGCTTTAAGTTCTTTTTATTTTGCATGCAGACGAAGTTCCTTCTGCCTCAACTAACAAGCAGTGTAAGAATTTTCTGCACTTT